GGTAATTTATCTTTAAAAAAACTGAAGGACATAGAAATAAAAGCTAAAATATATTGAACTAGAATTACAATTGGAGAGAAACCTTGCCCCTTTCAACTGGCATTAAATAAGTACTAACACTAAGACAATAGTACTGTTATATTTTTATTCATCATTAGTAATGTAACATTCCTATTCATTAGTATTGTCATGTTTCAATTTTATATGCTTATGTATGCTTATGTTCAAATCAATTCCAGCTGAACGGAATTTAAGGCAATGCTGTTTGGGAGGTTCTTGTCACTGCTGGTATGAATTCTATGCATAAAACTGGTGTTGATACAAAGGTTGTGGTAGATGATTGTCATATATTTACTTGATATTTTCTCAACTCTTGTGTTTATACTAGAAGATCTGGTACCAGGCAGCTCTTTGTTATAATTCATCTAGTTTTTCAATAAAATTTTCTTTTGGTGACAAAAAAAAGCAAAGGAAAAGGGATGAAATCAAGGATTCAGTATTTCTCGGTACTTATTGCATTGTTTTAATCAGCTTCATACAATGCTTTTGATCCCTTTTTGAAACTTATGAAATCATTATGAAGAGTTTGAGAGAAGTGTACTCAATTGATTGGTTAGAGCTAATAATAATTCAAAGCCGGGCATTTTGCTTATCAATCTGCATATGTACTTATCAATCTGCATGTTAGATAAAAGAGAAGAGAAAAAAAGCAGAACAAGGAATTATAGAATGGAGCCTAGAAAGCGCAAATCTATTTGAAGAAACTACAATAAGAAAAGAGAGAAACTAGCCTGGGTTATATAAAAATTCTTTGTCCATGGACTTATGCTGATAATGAATGAGTATGAAATGAAGAGACACAATTGTATGAAGCATAGTGACTATTGGGTTTGGAGACTCAATATCAATGGTTGTAACCATTGATAAAGAGACATCATGTAGCCTATAAATAGATGGCTGGAACAATGGAACTACACACCTGGAATTTCTAATTATTTATGTTTTCACTTCCGGATTATATATTCTTCTTGCGTGATAAATGCCCTCACGGGATTATCGATCTTCACCATTGATTGTTTTTCCTTCAATTTTTGCTTGTTAAGTTTTCACTTTACTGTTACTAAAGTACTTGGTGGGCTGTTCATACAGCTTATGTTCTAGCTAAGTCTGCTTTCAATAAAAAGAAAATATGGATATTGCATGTTTAATAAAAACCAGCATGGGTAGTAAAAAGAAAATTCCTTGTCAATGGATATTGCATAAGAAAATATGCAATTCAAACTATCTATATCAGAAAATATACAATTGACAGAGCATGCAAAACACATGATTGTTTTATTACATTGCCAACAATCCATACCATTGGGTAAATAACTAATTACTAGCTAGTTATGTATCCCAGAGTATTTTCAACATTTATTCTCATCTTCTTCAAGCGAAGCAAGCGAAAAAAACTAGAAATGTTAAAATTTTAAATCAACCTTTTCTGGCAGCAATGAGGGATGCGATTTCTTTGCGTCGCTTTTGGAAATCAACAATCATCCTGTCTCTGGGAGGTAACTTGTTCTTGATCACAGGGTGGTTGACAAAATTGTTCATCCAGGCAGTGGTGTTTGGGAATTGGATTTGGTCTACAATTTTCATGGACCCAACTTCCTCCCAAACAGGAAGCCAATAAGAGATCCATCCAAGTGCAAGGTCCAAATACCCAATGCTTTCCCCTCCAAAAAATTGTGTCTTCCCTTTTAGCTCTGTTTCTATCTTCTCTATGGCCTCAATGGATGCTTTCAGAGCTCTTTCCTTCTCATCTCCTTCTGAGCACATAGCCATCCCTGCATTTTCCAAAAGCTATAACAAACATGCACCAAAAAATATTAACCATTCATTCAAACATTTATACTTTAAAAATAATAATAAATTAACAAAAAGAAGGGTAAATTACAAATACATCATGATATTTGCTTATAATATAAATTATCTCATAAAATTACATGTAGCCCATTTAAATTTCTAATTGCAAAAATAAATTAGTCATTTCATTAATAATGTTATATATGGCCTATTCAAATTTCTAATAACATTACAAATGATCTATTTTATTAATAAATTATTAAGTCAATTAATAATTTTTAATAATGTCACAAAAATATTTCATTAAAAATTTTGATAATTTTATTGTTATAGAAGAGAGTAATTAAAATTTTTATTTTTTTATTAATTCTATTAAACAAAAAATTCTGACAATAAAATATTTATAATTTTCAAAAATATTTGGGACAATATGTATTTAAAACAAATATATTTATAATTTATGTAAAAAAAAAAAAAGAAGAAGCTATATTACATCTTCCTTAGCAAAGAAGCTATAAGTAAAGAAAATACCACAAAAAAAAAAAAAAAAAAAAAAAGTAAAGAAAATACCAAAAAAAAAAATGAATAAAAGAGTTAATTAGCAAAGATTTTACAATGGAAAACACACGAACTCAAGAAGAAAAATCAAAACCCAAGAATGCTATTTTTTTTTCAATTATTTAATTGCGAAATCCAATTTCCAAGCTACTAATTGAATCAATAGTAAAGCCAATAATCTATTTTAAGGATTCAAGATTATTAAAAAAAAATGGATAATGAAAATTTAAGTCAAGAACAAATCACCTTCTCCTCAGCGAACTTAGTCCAAAATCGAATGATGGCTCTTTGATAAGGATCTTGAGGCAACAATGGACATTGTTTCCATGTCTCATCGATGTACTCAAGAATTACAAAAGATTCAAGGATCACCTTCTGGCCATGAATCAGTACTGGGACCTTCTTATGCACTGGGTTCAATTCAAGAAGTAAATGACTCTTGTTGAAGACATCTTCTTCAATGTATTCATACTCAACACCCTTCAGTTTTAGTGCCCACTCTACCCTGAAGGAAAATGGGCTAACCCAAAATCCCAAAAGCTTTACTTTCTCACTTGCCATTGGAAATATAATATAGATATGTTTATTGCTTGGTGCTAATAAGTTCTTATATACATGTTCCAAACTAGACTTTGAATCAAACTTTGCATCATTAGACGCCAATCTTGACTAGTTGGATGGTTTAGATAGCTCAATCCATCACACTAACTAGTCTTGTGGACCAAGTTTATTTATCCAAATATATATATATATATATATATAAATATTAATTAAAATTATTTTTAAATATATACAATTTAATTACTCCTACTTCTCAAAATATCTTAATTATTTATTAATTTGATCAAAATTTATCCATATCATTATTCATATCAAATGATAATCACACAAACACAAAACACATTTAAAAAGTTTCAAATTCTCTCATTATAAAAAACGAGTTATAAATAAATATATATAGATATTCACGATCTATTTGTAATTATCCCTTTCCTTTTCATTCATTTTCTTATGTTTAATATTACAATGGAGGCCCCAAGCCAAAATCAATTTTTTTTTTTCTTGCGAATTAAATTCTTTATGCGGAAATTTTGCCAAAATTCATCCATCAGCATCCCATTTATTTTCATGTTAAAAGAGTTTCAAATTGGTTTCCAAATCAAGTATTGGTTTTTATCATCTAAAAATAAATTGATTAAATTAGAATTACATTTGGTCGGTCAGAAATGGATATGAACAGTCCAGTCCAATTGGCATTTCATGGGGTTCCACTTCTATTATCTATTATATTTATTTTTAGGGGCATTTACATACAAGTCCTTTTTTGTGAACTTATACTTCATTAAGTCCTAAATAAAATCACTTGCTCCTTCAAGTCCCATTAATTTTTAATACCCTAATTTATCCTTCCAAGAGTGAATTGTGTTCGGTGAGATCGCCTGAGAGATCATCAGATCTGCCTTCTCCACCACCTCCTCCTCATCATCTTTGTCGTGCTTGGCTTCAACAGCCGCTTGTGGCGGTGGCGGCGATGACGGAGGTGAAGAGGTGAACCAATATTAGCGGCCCTCAACAAGCACCTCCATCAGCGGAAGAGGTGGTAGCTTACAGTTGTGCCTACAGATATGGTGCCTACAGATACGAACTCTGGAAAATCCAAGCCTCCCGACATTAGCGGCCCTCAACAACCACCTCCATCGGCGGAAGAGGTAGATTTGGCAGCGGAGGAGGTGTTCATGGAGCCGGAAATCGAGTCAAAAACTTGACGCCGATGTCATACCTCGAATCCAAACCAGTACAACCAAGATAGCCTCTGCTGAGCTCTTGAAACCCCTAGATTATATCTTCACTCATAAGTATATTAGGGATGAGAATGTCATCATCATTCTCAGAATCCTCCTCCATTTCAGCGTATCCGTTGTTGTTGTTGTTGTTGTTGTTGTTGTTTTGGGGGGGGTTGACTTTGAGTGTTGTCGTGAGGTACACTTTCGCCTTCCATCAATGGGGTTGATGGAGAGAAACTTGAGGCAGCAGAGACTGGTGAGACGAGAGAACCAATTAGGAGATTGAGACAGATTACAGAGAGAGAGAGAGAGAATTTTAAAATTGAGAACCTTCTCAGTTTATAATAATCTCAATTTTAATCATGAAAAAATTGAGAAATTTCTCAAAATTGATAATTATAAATTTCTTAGAATATTCGCAGAATTATCTTTCTTTTCAATCCCATACTTTTCTCAGAAGCCAAACAGAAATTTTTTAATTTTGATAATTAAATACTGAAATCATTCTATGTTTGAAAATTGAGAATATTCTCAGTTTTGAAATTGAGAACATTCTCAGTTTTGGGATTAAAGGGCAAAACGTCTTTTTTTCTATAAATGAGACTTATTGGTTCAAAAACTTTTTGACAGGACCTAAGCTACCACCAAATATGTAGACAAGACTTTTTGGTAATTAACTCTTATTTTTAAGTTTGTGTATAGATTAAGTATAGAATAAATGACAAATTATAAGAACCACAACCAAAATTTGTCATTTATTGAATTTATTGAATTATATAATATTTGTTGCAGAGCTTTTCTTGTAAATTATGGAGACTTCATCTGCTTTAATATGCTTACATTCACAGCAAAGAGATTATACACACTATTGGCATCATCTTTAAGTTTTTTCCATGGGTCTTCTGGAATTACAATTGGCCTTTTGATCTTCACACTGTTTATGCATTCATCAGCCCCTATGACAGCTTTGGACATAGTTTCTTGAGCTGCTTTAGAAGTATCATTATTTTCCAATGCTTGAAGGGCATTTGGAATAAGCTCCCACCCAATTGTCCTAATTCTTTTCTTGCACTTAATCAAGAAAGATTGGAACTCCGGATATTTCTTATAAAGGATGTTCATGTTGCTTAAAAACCGCTTTGACTTAGTCATTGAGGCATTAGTAGCGATGAGGCATAGACCTTTAATAGCAGTTTGGGAGATCCGATCGCCTGATTTCAGAGTTGACTTGCAAAGTTTGTAATTGGGAGTCTTCTTGCATACTTTGGTTATCAGATCTTTTCGAAATATGGTGATAGAACATTGGCAATGGTTCAAGGCAATAAGGAAGATGGTAAGGAGAAAGATGATTGTGAGGAGGGAGTCTAAAATACTCTTCATGTTTAGGTTGTTATGTTATGTTATACAGTGCTAGAAGCAAAAATAAAAATTAAGGAGAAGATTGTATCCCTGGTGGTGATGTAAATCTGATCAAGTTAGAGTTTTATATCTTTTACATACATGCAACCAAGGTTTTAAAAAGCGGCCGCAACCGTTACGTAATGGTTTTGGCGGTTACAACCACCCGTTACGGCCGCTTTTGCAGTGTGATTGAAATTCACAGGTGTGTCGGCTATAACGGCTGTCGTAGCGGTCGTAACGGTGCCGTAACAGCCGTAACGGCCTATTATGCACCGTTACGTAACGATTCCAAACTATTTCTTTCGAAAAAACACACACAAAAAAAAACTAAAAATGGGGGAAAAGGGATAGAGAGAAGAGAGAAGATAAAGAGAGAAAATGGAGGAGCAAGAGATAGAGAGAGAGAAGAGGGACGATGAAGAACATGTTATTGATTTGTTGAAGCTGTATGACCTATACTATTCTATTAAGCTGCTATCACTAAACCATTTTGTTTGTGTGTGTCTATCTATATTTTGTTTGAAAATAATAATAATAATAATAAGTGTAGTCATTATCTATTTGACTTGGTTAAAATATGTATATATACATATATATTTAGGCTCTTATTTATTCTCATACTTTTGTCATTGTTTATCTTATATATAATAGTTTGTGATTGAACTTTTGTATAATATAAAGTCATTAATTATTAAAATAAGTCATTAATTATTAAAATAAAATGTAAAAAACTCAGTTTATAGTGATTTAAAAATATGAAATATATTGGATCATACTTAAAAATTTACAAAAATTGATCAATATTTATTTGTAATCCTATAAATATGATCATAGAAAAAACATATGCGTATCAGTAAGTTTTTTTCAAATTGTGCGAAAAATAAAAAAATTCACAGTTCCGGTTACTGCAACCGTTACACTACGGCCTTTACACCCCGCACCCGCAACCGCAACCGCGTCACTGCTACCGTTACGACGACCGCAACCGCTTTTCAGAACCTTGCATGCAACTCAAACTCAAATTGGCTAGAAGGTGTAAAGGTTCTTCTGTATACCACATGCATTTAGATTTTATTTTATTTTATTTTCTTCTATTTACTCTAATCACCTATTGAAATTTATTTGTGGATTTTGTTTTTATCAAAACAAATCCATTTAGATAATCATTTACTCTAATCACTTGTTAAAATTTATTTATGGATTTTGCTTTCATCAAAACAATTCCGTTTAGATATTTATTTGTTTTTGGCAAAAGAGGGATATGTGCCTATGAAGGAACATCTAGACAAATGTATGTGCTTGCAAGGTTAATTTTGTAAAATGAAATGTATAACTTGAATATAGAATTTAATATAAATTTCTATTTTTTAATTGTTATTTATAATTATTATTGGTATAGATCTTATATTTTTTGGGATGATCTAAATAAGTATACTTTTTGATTTTTTACGAAATGATGTGCAGAAAAATAGAGAAGTGATGTGATCTAAGAGGGTAATTTATAAGTAAATTGGGCCGAGCTGGGTAATGGGCCATTCTGTGGGCCGCGGTAAAAATGGCCGAGCAAAAGAACCTTGCAGTTAGCTCGGTCCAATTGTGGTTATGGTTACCACGATCGGTATGGAGGTGATTAGCTCGGTCATAGTATTCAAAACCAAGGTATTTGGGCTTCTTATGGTGGACCTAGCTCTCGTTAGCTCGGTCAAGGTTTATTGTGGTTAGCTCGGTCTCAACGAACCAAACCAAGGTACCAACAATGAAGGGAAGAACCGAGCTAGTTGGAACACGGTCATTTCTGCCACTTTAACATGGCCGTGTTAGTTCGGTCGTTTTGTCATACTATCGAGGTAAAACCATCTCACTTGGTTTAAGCAGTGAGGGGGGTGTTGAAGGATAAGCATTATCTTTCAGGAGTGTGAGTCTTAGGAGGACTCTAAATGGAGGAATAAGAGTCCTACTAGGATTGTGCCACACGGAACCTATAAAAAGCTCACAACATCACCTATATAGAGGTAACACAACTTTGATTCTCGAATACACAGAGCTTTTGTCTATTTGTCTATTTTGCTGACTTAGGCATCGGAGGGGTATCCGGCGCACACCTGCCGGCTAGCTCATGTTTGTGTTTTCAGGTAGTAAAGTGACAACGTTTGGAGGAGCATAGATTTGATCAACAGGATTATACGAGAACATTATTTCGTGCTAGTACAATTGGCGCCGTCTGTGGGAATTCCAGGAAGAACAAAACTCTTGATCAAGTTTTCCTCTCTAAATTGGAAGCAATGGCGCACAATGAAGACTTGCTGCAATCAGCCATTGACGGGCAAACCCCTGAGGGGAGTGGGAGGTGCGAAGGCTTACCTTCTATCCCTCCCATGGCGGATTTAGAACCCCAGCGACAGAACCCCCAGAGGGATGCAAGGGGGAGGCAGGCTAACAGCCCTCATCGCTTTCAAAGTCCTGAAAGACAGAGGCAGAGGATAGACCCTCAAGTTTTGGAAGATCGCATAAAGGAGCAGGACGATTTAATACGAAGGATGGCGGCGGACATGGAGTCAATGAAGCACCAGATCAAAGGAAAAAGGGGTGGCGACAGGAGAGGGGTGCAAAAGCAACATGCCTCCTCGCCACTTGGAAGATCATGGTAAGAATACCACACTATCACAAGCAGAGAGTAGGAGTCTGAGAAAGAACAGGCGACACTCAATCAAGGACTTACAGGACTCGTTACTCCAGGTCTGAGAGAACGAGAACTGAGAGGTCATATACTGAGGGAAGCACCTATTGGCCTTCGCACACGCACCAGACGTCATTTAGGCACACGGAGTTGCCCAGATCATCTGACTTGCAAACTGTTCTTGAAGAAAGGGCACGATAGAAGGAAGATGTCAGGGCATGCGACCTGCGCAGAGTTTCGGCCCTTCAACGGTTGGCCCCTCGGACGCATGGGAGCGTTGAGGTAGGAATGCCAATACCGCGTCTTGCTTATGAACCAACAGACAAAGCGTTAGCAAGGCTTCAGAGCTCGTCGTTCGTTCCGGCAATTGAGAACGCGCCACTACCTTCGGGCTTTCTCCAGCCCAAGTTCACTACTTATGAAGAGAAGACATACCCCTACATACATCCAAGCCACTTTCGCTAGGTTATGGCAGTATACAGGCGGAACGAAGCCTTAATGTGTATCCTGTTCCTATCCAGCCTGGGTGACTTAGGTTTAACCTGGTTCGAAAGGCTACCAGAAGGCAGCATCGCCTCATGGGCACAATTGGCAGAGGCGTTCGTGACTAGATTCAAGATGAACACTAAAACACCAGTGGAGATTGACCAGTTACTCTCCATTGACATGGGCGACAAGGAGACGTTGAGATCCTACAACAGTCATTATTGGAAGACCTTCAACCAAATTGGGGATTGCCTATAAACCTTGCCATTACACAATACAAACGGGGTCTGCCAGTCGAAAACAAGTTGAGGGACTCGATTATTATGATGCCACCCCTCACGATGGAGGCCTTAATGGAGCGAGTGCATCAACATATTCGCGTAAAGGAAAAAGGCACCTGTGCTAAAACAAAATCTGGCACAGCAGCAATGCCAGATAAAAAGATTACGGCAAAAGTCAACACGATAGAACAACCAAGCAGAGGAATGGGCGAGGCAGGCGGGCTAACAGAGAAGACCCAGACAAAAAGTGGTTAAGAGTTCGCACTGCCATCACCACAGTGTTCAAAAAACCAATCTACCGAATCCTAAATGAGATACGAGACGAACCTTTCGTCCGATGGCCAGCTAAGTTGGGAGAAGCACAAAAGGATTAGGACGAGAGGTCCCAATGCACCTTCCATGATGAAAAAGGGCACCGTACTGAAAATTGCAGGTCGTTGAGGCAGCATTTGGAGGAGTTAGTGGTGGCTGGGCACCTGGACCAGTACATAGAAGGAGGAACACAACTAACCCCCCAGAACAACAACATCCCAAACGGGATGCCGGTCGACACTCCACCTCAAGGCATAATTAACATGATACATGGGATATTCGAACCAGAGCGGATATGTGAGCTCAAGGGGATGATAAAAAAGGATGAGCACTTAAGGGAGGTATTAAGTGCACAACCTGCCATAAAAAAGGAGAGAACAGAGGCCACAAATGTCATATCTTTTTCAAACAAGGATTTAGCAAGGATATATTGCCCTCACAATGATGCACTGGTTGTCACTCTACGCGTCAAGGATTTCGACGTCAAACGGATTTTGATTGACCAAGGAAGCTCATGTGAGATAATGTATTACGAAACCATCAAACAACTGAAACTAGTGGACAAAGACATGGCACCCGCAACATCTCCCCTAATCGGATTCAACTCAATGCCAGAGTGGCCAGTGGGCAAGATAATCCTCCTAGTCAAAGCAGGAACCATAACAAAATAGGTGGAATTCTGGATATTGAAAGTCCCTTCCGCCTACAACATAATCTTAGGGAGGGCATGGTTGCACGCCATGCGATCGGTAGCCTCAACCTACCATCAAGTGCTGCGGTTCCCCAATGAAACCGGAGTAATTGAGGAGGTTTTGGGAGACCAAATTATGTCAAAACAGTGCTTCGTCATAGTAAATGGCAGCCGCGCTGCCAAAGGCTATGTACAGATGGTGGAAGAACCTGAAAGCAATGAATTGTTTGCAGACGTTGGCAAGGCAGTTGAACAGAAGGCAGTGGAAGACTTGGTACAAGTAAGGATAGATGAAAAAGACCCAGAAAAGTTCTTTTTGCTCGGCTCGTCATTATCTAGCACTGAGAGAATAGAGGTCATCGAATTCTTAACCTCTAACATCAAAGTGTTTGCCTGGACACCGTATGACATGCCTGGCATTGACCCAAATTTCATCTGTCACCAACTGAACGTCCACCCAACTGCCAGACCAGTTATACGGCACACTTGCAGATCAGCACTCCACCATGTCGAGATAGTTGCAAAGGAAGTA